TGGGCTCTCTTGCTGATGTCTGGGCTCTCTTGCAGTGCACGTGCCGTAAGGACATGGTGAAGATCTCCATGGATGTGTTTGTCAGGGTGCTGCAGCCCGAGCGTTACGAGCTCTGGAAGCAGGGCAAGGACATCGCTGTCCTGGACCACATGAAGCCCACGGCCCTGAGCAGCCCCGAGCTGGATGCCTGGAACGAGACCAAGGCAGAGCTGAAGGCAAAACTGCTCCGAAGGTAAAGAGAGGCGGGGCTTGGGCTGAGCCCTGCTCTGGGCTCAGCTGCTGGGCTTGCAAATGCTGCAGTCCTTTATTGCAGATTGTTTCAAACTCTTCTTTTCTTCCTGTGTTCTTTTTATGCAGTTCCCTCTGCCATTTAGCTGGGGTGATGTGTCCCTCATGGTCCTGTTTCCTTCACACGTGTTTTTTTTTTTTTTTTTTTTTTTCAAAGTGGGACACTTTGTGCACTCTCACATCTCATCTCTTATCCTGGAAGACCAAAAAAAAAATCTGTAGTGAACATTTAGAGCTTCACTGATCAGAAAGCAGGAGTTAAAAAAAGCCCATCGGTTGCAAAGGGGATTTTCTGCATGCCTTTCTGTGCTTCCTTTGATCTTTGTATTAATTTTCTACAAGTCTGTGATTTTTTTGTGTGTTACAGCATGCTTGAATTGAGAATTTTGGCATGCTAACCTTTTCCTGTTGGAATCTTGCTTTATAGGATAGGAGATGAGGAAGAGGACAGCAAACACCGGTATGTGACTTCCCCCAGCAACTTCAAAACTTTTATTCTTTCTCCTGGCAAATGTCTTAAAATAGCAACTCTGGGACTCTTCTCCTCTGTCACTGAGTTTTGGTTTTGTTTTTTTTTTTGTGAAAGCCCCCAGGAAATCTTCAGGCCTGTGATCTCTCCCAAAACTGGAGAACCTCAGCTGCCTCATGGCTCTTCTGGTTTTTATTCTTGAGTTGCTGTTCTGGGCTGGCAGGGCTGTGTGGGGAAAGGGAAGTGGGCACTGATGAAGGTGCTGCTGCATTTTTGTGGCTGTTCAGGGGTCCTGATGCAGCTGATGTTTGCACAGTGCAAGGTGCTTTATGAACACCAAGGATTTTTTTTTTTCCCTCCCTGATCCTATTACCCAGCAGAGGAGTCTCTCTCTCTCAGCCTGAGCCTATTGCAAAAGATCCAGGTATTTTTTTTTTTACTTATCTGTTCAGTGTTTCCTGGATTATTCCAGCATTATCCTGGAGCAGTTTTGAAGCTGTTCAATACTCTTTAGCAGTATTTTCTCCTGTGCTTATGTCTTTCCAAGACATCGTTTTACTTGAAGCCTGACTTTTCTCAGCAGGATGCAGGGATGGGATTCACCTCTGCCCAAACCTTCACAGTTGTAGCTACTTAATTTAAGTCACTTTGTGGTCTGCTCTTCAAAGAGTACAAACGTTGCTTTTTTGTCAGCTCTCTTGGAAAAATGGAGCTTTTAAACTCTGCAGAGAGGTGTTATTTCTTCTCTAAGGTCAGCCAGACTTGGTTACCTTAAAAAACCCAACTTTGTTTACTTTTTGGCTTCAGCAAGAGGCTGTTTTAGTCCAGTCCCCACCAGCCCATTTCTGATGTGTGAATTCTGTCAGACACAGAACAGCTTCACTTCTGGAAGTGCTCAGCCTGTAGTTCTGGAAGCACTTTCTTTAAATGCTGAGCTTTCTGCTTCTCTCCCCCACACCCCTGAGTGAGAAGAGCACTGCAAAACAAATCTTTTTTTTTTTTTTTTTTTCCTCTCCTGTGAGTACAAAGCTCTGTGCTGTAATTTTTAAAACCACACTTTGCTAAAACCAGCTTGTAACACTTGACTCCACTCCTCCTTCAGCTCTGGAATATTCCAGCTGCAGTGGCAGAGTCTTGCAGCTTTATCCTCACCTCCCACCCCACGTTCCCCTCCCAGGGAAGGTGGTGTGTACTTGGAATGTGGGTGAGGAGCAGAGCTGATCCCTCTGGGTTCAGCCCCTGTTTGTCCTGCAGGTGTGAAGGCTCCAGCTCTTCCTGCAGGGCCACCATCTGCTCAGGGGCTGGCAATTAGAGGTCCCTGTGCATATGGATCAACTTGCTTTTTTTTTCATCATTCATCTCAGGTTGTTTTTTTTTTTTTTTTCTCTCCCTTCTTTGTCAGTTTAAAGGCTGATTAAGGGCTCTTAACTGTGTTGTGCTCCAAATCTAATTAGCAGCTGAGTTTTCTGGGCTCTGAGGATGGGGAGCTGCTTTTTTAGCTTTTCTAGACTTTGGGACTGATGAGTGAAGGGTGTTTTAGTCTTTGTCACACGATGGTGGATGTGAGGCCATAAGGAAAATGCTGCTTTCAACCAAAGAAGTGCCTGCATGCTAAAAATGGGGTAAAAATTGCAAGTTCCATCATCAGTATGATGAAATGATGAATCAGTCCTTCTGGAAAAGAAGAGCTTGTTAGATTTAAACCTAAAATTCAAGGAGCAATTCCACAGATTCTGTAAAACCCTTTGCTGGGCTGGCTGGGATGGAGGGACTGGGATGGAGGGACTGGGATGGAGGGACTGGGATGGAGGGACTGGGATGGAGGCACTGGGGTTACTGCACCAGAAGTTTTGGCTGTTGCTTGCACAGAACCAAGGCTTTGTCTTGTCCCAGTCTGGCCCAGTGGCACCCTGGGGCTGGCCCTGAGTGGCCAAGGGGAAATTTTGTGCCATAAAATGTTATGGGGAGCAATAAAAAGTGGGAGAGAGGAGGAAGGAGGGGTCTGGTTTCTGAGGTGATGTTTTTGGGGGCACTGCTCTGCCTCAGGATTTCCTGAGCTTCTTTCTTTTTTTTTATTCTTTCCTTCACCCATTAAACTGCATTTGTCTTGACTTACAAGTTTCTGGCTCTTGTTCTTTCAGTTTTCCCTCTTGAGCACTGGGGAGTGTCTGTGAGGGTACTTGGCTTCCTACAGTTCCCAACCCAAAAATCTTGTCCTGACTTCTAAATTTCCATTTCTCTTTGCATTGTGGCTCCTGTAATCTTTGCCTTCCTGGCATTGACTTTAAAAAGAATGAACAGCATTGCTATTGCCTCGTTAGTATTTGTCTGTTCTTATTAATATGCATATTTTTTAAGTTAGATTTCTTCAAGGCCTTGGACCTTCTGAATTTACTGCTGGAAAATCATAGACTGCCTATTGATTTTGCTCTGAGCATTCATTATGGTGTGTTTTTGGGAACTGGCAGTGCTGGGTAATGTCTCAGAGCTGGAAGATGATGTTTTGCAGACTTCCAGCAGTTTGCCAAAGGGAGGCACGGACAGAATGAAAAGAAATAATGGAACGGAGGCAGAGGATGAAAGAGAGATTTAAACAAGTTTTCATCTGTATTTTGAAATACAAGCAAAATAGATGGAAAACACAATTAAAATCACTTTAACTGCAGCTTGTGAGCTTACATTAGTAATGGTAGGAAAAAGCTCTTCAGGAAACCCAGACAATTAATGGCTGCTGTGAATGGATCTTAAATGTTGTGTTATGCAGGGTTCATCTGTTCCCTTTCAGATATCTCTTTTGCCCTGTAGCTATTTTAGCTACCTTGTGTTTTTCTCTCCAAAGAAGATCCTTTTGTTTTGTATTCAGCTTTTTAAGCCAGTGATGGTTTTTCTATTTTGAAGGCTGTTCTTTTATGTCAAATCACACTTCTGTACTTTCAGGTCTCACAGAAAAAGGAGTCAACCCAGAAGACACAAAACAGAGGATCAGAAGTCTCTTGGGGATGTCATGGCTATTGAAACTGCCTTGGAAGATGTGAAAGTAAAAGAGGAGCTGAAAAGGGGGCCGGATCTGGAGGAAGAGGAAAGAAGCAAAGGGATGGAGGGAGAAGGTGAGGCCAGAGCAGAGCTCCAAAACACCTCTGTGAATAACTTGTCTGCTGCTGTTTATTTCTGTTGAAATATCAGCAGAGTTTTCCCCAGTATTAAATCTCTGCTCACTGAAATATGTCATCATTCACAGCAGCAATTGATTTTTCCCTCCCTTGAAGGATTCAATCCAAATAACGTTTTTTGGCAGGGCTTGAAAATTCTATAGGCCCAAACTGTTCCAGGATTGTAAAAATATATATTACGTGAGGAATATTTTAAATTATTTCATAGAGAAACAAATAGATGTATTTTTATGTCCTGCTCTGAAAAAGAATGATTTGTGCACTGCCTTGTGCAATTCATCTTTCCTCTTCCCCTCCCTTTGTTCCCATTTTTTTAGACACTGAATGCAGAGTTTGGGTGGGATCCACAGCTGCTGCACGAGTCCCACTTGGGTTTCTGGAGCAGGGAGGATTTTCAGCTTCTTCTGCATGAAATATCAAACATTCACTGACCATAAAACCAGGCCATGACAACTCCCAGTCCTTTGGGGTTCCTTCTTCACATCCAACCCCTGAACACACCCTTTGTGCAGGGGGCTCTTTCTGTGGCACCTTTTTCTTGCCTGTGCAGAAAAGGTTGGAGTTCTTGCTGAGAAAAAGCTGCTTTTCCCCCCCACCCTCTAATGTGTGTTGAAGTGGTTTTTGTGTCTGTGACACACTCACTCCCTCTTGGAGGTTTCTCCAGCACTGTTACAGGGAATTCATTTACATCTATTGTATATATCCATTATTTGTTTGGCTTTTGGAGAAACTGATGCTGCAAAGTGTTTAGAGAAGCTCGATAATGATCTTAAAGGAAATCTATGGAAGCTCTGGGAAGAGAATTGAGGGCTTTGTTCAGAGTCTTTCAGCTAGACAGTGTAGTTTCTCTTTTTGTGGGAAATGAGGAGTTGGAGAACCATTGTTGCACAGTGCAGATACTTAATTTCTATTGCCCTAAGCTTGAGAGCATCAGCAGTGTGTTAAATTGTCTGCTCTTAGCTCTTGTACATGTTTAACACTTGATGCTTGTAATAAATGGCCCGAAAATGCTGATTTTTCTTTGGAGACGAGAGATAAGTGACAAGGACAGATCTGAGATCATTAGAATGGCCAAGAAATAATAAAAACTCTGTTCTAGCTGAATGGCTTCCAAATCATACACTTCCAGCACTTCTTAAGAGCTCTGTAACTGTTGGCTCAGGAGGGAAAAGCTTATTTTCAGCACCATTGCAGAAGTGCCACTGGAGCAAACTCCAGCTTGGTGTGGCTGCTCGTGAATATTCAGCTTTCCTACTGCAATACAGCAATTAAATCCCAATGGCTCCTCTCGTTTTTCCACATCCTGCTGTCTGCATTGCCTCTCACCAGCGTCCCAGGGCTTCATCTTGAAGAAGAAAACAGCATCTTGTTTGGATGGCCCTGCTCTGGCAATTCTGCTCCCCCACCTCCTGCACTTCCCTCCTTTACTCCTCAGGTTTTAATTTGACTTCATTTTTTTGTTGCATCAGAAGAAATGACCTTGAGAAGGAGAAAGAATGAGATTTCAAAGTAGTCATGGTTCCAAAGTAGGTCTTGTGCTTTGTTGGTTATTTGGACAAGCTGAGTATTTATAACTCGAGGTTTTCAGGATTTCTGACCCAGATCCCTTATGGTGTTTACTTTTTGTTTTTATGACTCAGCTTTATATTCATAATTTATTATGTTGCTATTAATATATTTAGAATTCTCAGCAGGTTGTCTTGGGATGTCAGGAAGGAGGGATGTTGAGCATTTCCTGCGGCAGGAATGCTCCTGGCAGCCAGCAGCTCTTCCCTGTGGGGCTGTGCCCGGCCAGGGAACTGCCAGCCTGAGTGCCACCTCCAGGGCTGGGGGCTCCAAACCTCCCTGGGCAGCCCCTTCCAAGGCCTCACCACCTTTTCCAGGGAGGAATTCCTGCTGGTGACCCTCCCCTGCTGCAATGTGAATCTGTTCCCTCTTGTCCCCTGGAGCAGAACCCGACCCCCCTGGCTGTCCCCTCCTGTCAGGGAGTTGTGCAGAGCCACAAGGTCCTTCCTGAGCCTCCTTTTCTCCTCCTGAGCCCCTTCCCCAGCTCCCTCAGCTGCTGCCCAGTTGCTGAGCCCTGCTGAGGATTCAGATTGTCCCTGGGCAGGCAGCACAGCCCAGCCCACCCGTGTCCTTGTGTCCCACCTGCAGCTGCCACCCTCACTCCTCTCTTACCCTACCTGTGCATTTGTGCCTTCACTTCCTGTGAGTATCCAGGATAAACTCTTGGAATTTTGCCTCCCTTTTTCCTGGCTTCTGATTCAACAGATTCACTTGCAAACTCGTTTGTTCATCTTAATGCAAAAACTTTGAAGTGCAGTTCTCAGTGCCAGCTGCTGTCAAATTACCCTTTAGAAGTCAATAAAGCTGGTGAATGGCAGTTGTGGTGCTGCTGGGGAGAGAATTCTTGGAGTGTATAGAGACTAAATATGATCTGGTTTTGTGCAACTGGGGAGAAATCCAATTTGCCTTTCATTCAATATGTTTGTTTCTCTAAGGAAATTCAATATTCCTTTCTCTGTGATAGAACAAACCAGTTTATCTGAGGGACTGCCTACATGAGTACAACTATAATTATTTGAGCTGGACTTGTTCCCATTCTTATAAGTTAGTGTAAATAAGGTGATCAGAACTTCTGGGAAATACTGGGGTTGAGGTTGTCCCTAGGGGATTTCAGCAGGGATTTTGGCACTTTATGCTGTTGTGGGATTATTCACCCTTCCTCATGCAGAAACTTCCATTGTGTGATGGTTATTCTGATTTTCCATTCATGGGTTGGGCTGGTCAGGTTTGGTGGAGCCTGAAGTGGAGGGGTCTGGGTTGGTGGAACTTCTTCCCTGGGGTGAGCAGGATGTCCCTGATTATCCCAGCCTGGAAAATCCCCCTCAGTGGAGAGCAGGAATTTTAATCAGTGCTGTAAAATGGGAGTGTGTGGATCCCTTCACAGGGAAGAGAGGTGGAGAAGCCTCTGACAGGCCAGAAGTGCCTCTGGTGACAATACTGAGATGTTTATCTGTTCAAGGAGTGTTGTCACATCCATGAGGGCTGAGCAGATAAACGAGTGGCACAGAGCTGGGAGAAACAAGGACATGGCTGTGAGTAAAGGATATCTCAGCATCCAGCTGAGTGCTGCACCTGATTTATGCCTTAAAAGCAATTTTTAAAAAAAGCTTGATAGCAGAAATCTTTGGGTAATAATGGTTCAGGTGTCTTTGTCAGTTCTTCATTTCCTGGGGCTGTTGGGTGCTTTGACACACAGTAATACCCAGAAAAAAGCTGTGCTTGCAAACACAGGGAGCAGCAAATACTGATACAGAATGGGGGTCTCCAAACTCTTTGATTGCACCTCCTTATCAGCAAAAAAAAATCTGAGCACCCCTCTTGATGAATGTCTTTGTTTATATACACATTTATTCATGTATAGCATAACATGCTATACATGAATATCCAGAAAAACAGAGATTAGAAAAGGAAGGCATAAAGATGAAAAAATGCTGTTTAAAATATTTATTTTATGAATGGGACAAAAAATATTTCATTCCTGCACCCCAGTGGATGGTTTTGTGCCCCTGACTTTGGAGGACAAAAAACTTGATACAGAGTCATGGCTAATGTGACATATTACAGATTTTTTTGGCACACTGTCCAGTTTCCTATGGATTTAGATATTTTCCCTCCAGGAAATGTTGCTTTTAGCAGCCTTTGTGCTCCAGTCAGGAATTTAATAGTCCATAGAAATGACACAAGTATTTTCTTTCTGAAGTGGCTTCTCTAGGTCAGTGCTGAGGCACAGCTGAGTGTGTGCAGCTTTCAGGGTGCCCATTGGAAAGCAATAATTCCATAGTGCAATAATTCCATGGAGTGTGCTAGCCCAGCACTGGGCTCTGGGCAATGACAGAATGCAATAATTCCATGGTGGAAGGTGCTAGCCTAGCCCTGAGCTTTGAGTAAGGACAGAAATGCAATAATTCCATGCTAGCCCAACCCTGAGTTCTGGGTAAGGAGGGAATGCAATTATTCCATGGTGGAACGTGCTAGCCCAGCACTGAGCTCTGAGTAAGGACAGAAATGCAATTATTCCATGGTGGAACGTGCTAGCCCAGCACTGAGCTCTGGGTAAGGACAGAAATGCAATAATTCCATGCTAGCCCAGCACTGGGCTCTGGCTAAGCACAGAAATGCTGCATTCCCAGAGCTGTGCCGTGGGCTCAGTGTCACTTTTGTCTCTCCAGGGGAGTGCAAGGCCCGGGCGCGGCCCCCGAAGGCCAAGGGCGAGCGGAGGAAGAAGCAGGCGCCATTTCCCCCCCAGCCCCCCGTGCCGCCCCCACAGCCGCCCCCCGAGGCCGGGCCGAGCCCAGCGCGACCCCCGGGGCCACCCCCAGCCCCGGCCCCGGGCCAGGCCCGGCCCCCGGCCCCCCTGAACGTGGTGCAGCCATCGGAGGCCCCGGCCGAGGAGGACGACTTCAGGCCGCGGCCCATCATCCCCATGCTGTACGTGGTGCCCCGCAGCAAGAAGGTGGTGTTTGACAAGGAGCACATGTCGTGCCAGCAGGCCTTCGAGCAGTTCGCCACACAGAAAGGGCTGGGCTGGCGTGAGCCCGGCCCTGCCAAGGACGAGGACGGCGCCGAGGCCGAGCACGCCCAGCTCGCCACAGAGGTCAGTGGTC